AGAGGGCTATGGACTGAGGGGATGGCAGCATGCAGAATAGAAGTAGGAGTGGAAGAGGCCGGGTGCGGTGGCTCACACCTGTAATCTCAGCACTTTGGAAGGCCGAGGCGGGCAGGTCACAAGGTCAAGAGATCGAGACCATCCTGGTTAACACGGTGACACCCCATCTCTACTAAAAATACAAAAAATTAGCCAGGCGTGGTGGCGGGTGCCTGTAGTCCCAGCTATTCGGGAGGCTGAGGCAGGAGAATGGTATGAACTCGGGAGGCAGAGCTTGCAGTGAACCAAGATCCGGCCACTGCACTCCAGCCTGGGCAACAGAGTGAGACTCTGTCTCAAAAACAACAAGAACAACAACAAAAAAGAAGTAGGAGTGGAAGAAACAAAGAAGGCCTGAAGCAATAGGTATGTTTGGCCTGAAATCTTCCTCTTTAGCTAATTCTCTGTGGCTAGGAGTGCTCACCTCCAAAACAAACAAACAAACAAACAAAAAACCCAGATTGGATGTATGGACCGTTATAGCTATCCTTCTCTTAACCGTTTGGTGCAGAATACTAAAAAATATAAAGTTTTGGAGAACACGTGTCCTATTATGTAATTCTTGGTATAATATTAATACTACCACAACAGTAAATGGGACACAGTGTTTTCACAACCATATCACATTAGATGATACTCACAGTGACCCTGTGGGGTGGAGGATAATTATTTGTTCCTACTTAACATTAAAGGAAAATAAGGCCCTGAGAGGTTTAACGTTGCCTAGAATCCCCCAAATAAGGAAGCAGAGCAAGAACCAGAGCTGTTGGACTCCCACTCTGGATTACTTTTCAGGACTCTGTGTCACCACCTATCTCATGAGTGCTCTCCAGAGATACCCGGATGCACACAGGGACAGCCACATATCTGCATTCATGGACCCTTATGAATGGAGACGGGCTCCCTACTGCTCACTTTCTTTCATTCCCCTGCACGCTTAGGTTACTGTACCATAACACCCAAGACCCCCCAACATGTGCTGTTGCCCTGAAACTGGAGTTACTACTATATAAGTGTTCTAAACGCAGGCTATTGTCCTATTGTCCTGCCAGAAGACGACTCCTCTGGGAGTCCTTGGAGGCCCCTCCAGGCTCTCCTGCTAGTGTGAAAGCCTGTACTCGCTTCCTCCTTAACGTGCCTGGTAGCCTTCATCACCCTACAGGCCTACAGCCAGCCCTGATGAATTCAGGCTGGGGTGGGGGTGAATAGTAAGAAGAGTATCACACAGAGATAGGATCTAGAGGTGTAACATGTAAACAGAAGTGTTCTTAGTGTCCACAGTTGGAACTCAAGGTTATATTTTCCCACAGAATCCATGTGACTGATGCTGACTTGCTAATGAGATTCAATAATTCTGGGAGTATTTAGTAGTATCTTGGTTAAACATCTGCATTATGTAGGGCTTCACGGATGACCGCAAGACCCTATCCATCATTGATAATATTGTTTCTATGGGGAAATGTGTTTGAAGTTTTGTATGACAGCCCTCCAAAGAAATTCTAGCAAAAAAACCTATTTGAAAGTTGGGCACTGTCTGTCTTCCAGCACTGGCTGTTCTCCCTCTCACTCTCTCCAACCTAACCTGTTTTCTTATGTCCAACTTCTGGGTGGCCCATGAAGGCTATTGCTCCTCTGAGGCCACAGCAGGCGTAAGCAATGGGGAGAAGGTGAAAGTGCTGGGGAACAGTCCCAGCAGTAGAGGGAGGGGGGCAGGAGAGGGAAGAAGACAGAGTTGGAATCATCACCAGACAGCAAACATTGGGTGAGCCTACGCTGTTGATAGGACACAGGCTTTTTATGGGAATCTAAAATGCAACTTTTAAGCAGGATGGATGAATGTCATTAAGAAAGCACAGGCCGTGGCATGAGGCAGGCCTGGGGTACATTCTGTTTCTTATTAAAAATGATCTTAAGCTAAATACTTAACCTCTTAGAAGGTTCAGCTTTCTCATCTCTAAAATTGAGATGACATTACTTCTCAGGGTGTTTGTGAAGATCAAAGTAATTGTGTAAATGTGATTATTACAAACTTCAGCAGCATTTACCAGACAGTTGAATGTTGCTTTATCTTACTTTCCTCCTTTGAGAGATGCAAGGTGGTACAGGGGAAAGATTAGAGTAAAAATAAGTGGATTGGAATTCCACTCTCAGAATCAACCCCATGGAGGGGCTGAGCACACTCTCCGAGTTACTGTCTTCCGTGCTGTCCTCTGAGGGCTTTTGTTGGTGGCAAGGAATTAACATGTGTGTCAATGGCTGCAACTAGCTGGTCAATAATTATCATTCACTGTTTTGACAAATGTGTGTTGAGTGCCTACTATAGACCTGGCACTATCTTAGAAACGTGAATCCAGCCAAGGGGAAATAATCAAGGCAGGCCTGTTCTGTTAGATGGAGTGGTCAGGGAAGTTTCCCTGAATAGATGAGATTTGAGCAGAGGCCTGAATGAGGAGTGGGAGTGAGCCATAGAAATATCCAGAAAGAGGCATCCAAGAAGAGGGAATAATCAGAGTAAAGGCCAGGCTGTCAGGGCCTGCTAGGGCCTGATTGAGACATTGCAAGGAGGTCCTCAGGGGTCTTCGTGACTAGTGCAGAGAGCAAAAAGTATGGGCACAGGGCAGGGACAGGGGAGGGCAGGACCAACGGTCTATTGATATGTGCTCTGTACACTGCTGGAAGGACTTTCTCCTAACTTCTAGGTACTCAAGCCCTTGGAAGGTAGTCTTGAGTGAAGGAGTTTACGTTGTGAAAAGCCACATGCAGAAGAAACTTGTGGCCCAAGGGTGCAGGCAGACAAGCACTGGGAGGTGACTGTAGTCAGCAGAGCAGACATGAGATGAGGCCCTGGGCCTGGGGTGGTGGCAGCTGGGGACACAGATGTGTTCTGACTCAATGTGTGTGTGTGGTATAGTAAAGCCCTGGAGCTAGGGAAGGGTGCAGGCCTAGAGAGAGACACTGCGGAGGTCTCCACAGAGTGATACAGTGAAAAAGCACAGGGCCGGACATGGTCATCTGTGGAGCAGGAATGGAGGAGAGGGAGGAGAACCCATCATGACACTGCGCAGCATTTTAGAGGTCTGAGGAAGGAGATGCCACTCCATGCATGAAAAGTGACAAGACAAAAGAGGCCCTTTCTTACAAAAATTCTTTGTGTTCCTTTTTTTGGTTATTGCTTTTGTTTTTCTTTTTCTTATTAAAACAATTATGAGATATTTCAAAACATGCTGAATACTGAAAATAAAATAACTGACACTCCACCCAAATTTCTAACTTGTGAACATTTTGCCACTTTGCAATTGATGGCAGGCGAATCCCAAAACGGGCTCAGCCCGGAAGGGTTCTTGACTTTGCTCAGGGAAGAACTGAAGAAGGAGCTGGCAATGAAAGAAGGCAAGTTTATTAGAGCAACAGTGAATGGCAAAGTGGCTGCTCCCTAGAGCAGGGCTCTCTCATAGGCAGAGCTGCCCAGGGCAGCAGCAGCAGCAGTAGCACTCCTTATGGACTGCTGGCTAGCTATATTTATGCACACTCTTCATTATATGCTATTTAAGGAGCAGGTTATTCAGAATTTTCTAGAAAAGGGGTGGGGGAGTTCCTGGAACCATATAAGGAAACTTTTGGATTGTTGCCATGGCGTTTGTAAACTGTCATGGCACTGGTGAGGCTGTCTTTATGCTTATTAGCAGTGAGGGCAAGTAGGGTCACTTTTGTTGCTATCCGCTGGTTTCAGCTGGTGTCTTTGCTGCATCCTGCTTTGATTAGTAGGGTCATGATCGGTGCTCGGAATATAAGCCCTGCTGGTCTCCCATCTCACTATATTCATTTCAAAGACAACTGAAGTCATGCCCCCTCTGTCCAAACCGCTTCTTCTTCTTCCAGGAGGCTTTAGTGAGCAATGATAACAGTGCCTGGTGTGTGGGAAGTTCTCGGTGAAGGTCAAGAACTGTGGCGCTGCTGGAGGTGGTCTTTACCATTATGATGATATTGAGGTCTTTCCCATGCATTTTCTAGCTCTTACTGCATAAAGTCAACTCCATAACAATGCACAGTACAATTCTGTATGTTTTTTAAATTAATATAAAGGGTAAATTTTTGTATTCTTTTGTATCTTTTTTTAATTCAACACTGTGTTCTTCAGATTTTTTTTTTTTTTTTGGTAGCAAGTCAGACACAGTTTAGAATATAAGAGTAATAGGAGGAGGAAACAAAATCTTTGCAGAGAGTGCAATGTGAAGGTGCTTTGGTTCCAATATGACAGCTCTCCAGACGCCTTTTCTCCATCCCTCCCTCTTTTTCATTCCTTAACTGCAAAGCTATTGGAGAGAAAGGAGAGGATCATTCAATTTTGTGACAATATTAAATGCTAGCTTCACAGCCCCTCAGGACAAAAAAGACCATGTGGCCCTATAGCCCTTAACTGGAACATGCTTGCTTCCCTTCTCCAACAGGAGCCCTCCCATGGGTTGCAGACAGAGGTTCTGACCCCGGGGCAGCCTCACTTGACTCATGAACTGATGAGCATATTCACTTCTGCAAGCAAAGTAAAACTGAACATAGGAGCTATACTTGCTGGTTACTGTTACTGTTCTGTCCTCTCATGTTCCAATTACCTGTTTTATTTTTATTTCAGAGCCTTCACTGAACAGGCAATGTTTGGATTTAAGCTCTAAAGAAATGCGGGTAGACAGAGGGCACATTCCACACAAGAATCCAGGCATGGATTCTGAAGTAGCAGCTTGACCACTGTCATTGTAGAGCTTAGGCTAGAGGACAGGATTGGTTTTCAATACTCTGATACCCATCTGTGACAGACGGGCAACTTCTGTGCTGGCAGTATCAAAGCAACCCCACCAAGAGACATGCCGGCCTCTCTGTGGCTGGATGGTTTCCATGGTGTGGGGGAGTTTTGTTGTTGTTGCTCTTGTGAAGTTTAAGTTCTTGTGGCTTTTCCCCTTTGCCAGCCTTGCTTAAGACCAAAGGAGAGCTGGATGGTAAAGACTCCCTCGAGAATGGGCAAACGAGTTGCAGATCAAGTATCCTGGCCACGAAGACAAGGAGAGGATCAGGCCTGAAGCTCCAGGCCTGGACACGCCCCGGAGGAGAAATGATCCTCGTGGTTAGTAACAGAGCCAAGCTTCCTTTGTCTAATCTTTCGCTGGAATTAAGAGCTTTTCACATTTCAGTTGACTTGAGAACAGACAGGGAGTCCCAAATCAGAAGCAGATTGGAGCTGGTGAGCAGGGAAACGACACTTCAGCCTCTAAATGCAGCAGCTCTGTTTGTCCCTTGCTTTTGACCCCAGCAGCCTCTTTGCTCCCTCTCTCCTCCCTACTCCACAGAAGGCTTCTCTCCTCTTCTCTGAGGCTCTGCTCTTAAAGCAGCAGGTGCCCGATTCCAGTGGACTCTCTCCACTGCGGAATGCATTACAGCAGGGGCAGCACCTTCCCCAGCAACACACCCTGTCACCTTTGATCCTTTGCCATTTGCACTGTGGGTTTTCATTTGACCCAGTGGTCTGAGTTTGCTCCAGTATTTGTGTTTTCGTGTTTTTCTTTCCTATGCTTCTCTTTCCCTCCCCGCCCCTCCTTTATGCTGTGGCCTAAGTACACTGAGCTTCTTCCTTTGTTTGTATGACAGAGGATTCCTTTTCATTCGTCAGGATCTTAACTATGCATACCACAAAAAAATTGAAGCACAAAGCACCAAAAAAAATGACGATAGAAAAATCTAGTGGATTTGGAGGTGAAAGAAAGCAAACTTGCACCCAGTTTTCGAAACCTTAAACAGATTTATATTCTTGGCCCAGTTCTCAGTTACTCACCACAGTACTCTTATTTTGTGCCTCAAGGGATAGGCAAAAAGCTCTTTCCTGCTCAGCACTTACTTAATACTTAAAAGAAATACCCTTTCTTTCTCTAGCAATGCACTTGTTTGTAACAGTGGAAATACAGGGCACCCAAGAGGTCAAACTCTCTAGAAACCTGGGGCCAATACTTACAAAGACTGATGCCTTGTGGGTGATTGAAAAACAACCCTAGAGTCAGAATTAACAACATTCTCCACATAGTGTTTAAATGGTCACTTTTTGTCCAGAGCTGGGTACTTTCTGAAAACTGTTTCTCTAGCCTGAGGCAAGCCTGGGCTTTGGCTGTGAGGCCCAGAGGCTTAGCTTCTTCACCCAATGCTTGCAAAATGTTTATAGCAAACTCAAATACCTTCCACAGATTACTCCCATTCTCCATCTGATTTCTTCACCAGCTGTTCTCTGCCTGATTCATTGTGCAGATTTCTTTCTAGTGTTGTGGATATTCCCTAGTTACCTACCATAATGCTTGGTCTTACAGGTGTATAGCATGTTTGCAATGCTTGTTCATACGCTCCCAGGGAAAAAAAAATCATAAAATATAATCTTACGTGTAATTTTCCTGAGTACTAAATACTTTGCCCTGAACTTGAAGACAGTGTATCAGTTGAAGGATGCCAGGAATTACTTCACCTCATGTATATGTACCTGTTACAGATTATATTCATTTTCAAATTAATTTCAAAGCCAGCTGTTATTTTTGCTAAAAGTCATCCTTGATGTTATGCTTTAGTAACTACCATTTAAAACTTAGAGACAACTAGCTGTGCAATATGAGGATTTAAAAATTCAGTACTTGGATTGTTTATCGTGGGTTTTATATTTTGAGCTCAAGTCTCCTTCTTAATATATTGTCTGTAGGCACTTAATAAAATGGATTTTTAAGGAAAAATAAAATAGCTTTACTATATATATAACATGCATATTATACATAAAATGTTGGAACTTTTTGGTGATTTAGTTTTCCTTTATAAATACGGGCATGTAGTTATTTCTACAGCAATACTTACATTGAAAGACAAGTTTCTATGCCATGGAGGCTTTTTAGAAGTTCTAACTGGGAATGTAAGCATCTATGTAACCTTAATCCAAAAAGAGGGCTCCTCTAACTGGGGAGATTGCCCGTTTGGACCGTCAAACAGCTGGGGAGAATGGGTCACCTGCCTAGACTACTTAATGAGCTGAGTCCACTCTAACAGTCAGAGCTGGGAGAAAGCACCTTCTTCAGAGTGAGCACACATCAGGTACCCCCTCCATTTTTCCCTGACTCATGTGGAGGGGTTAGGACTTTAAAGAAGCCAGGTTTGTCTTTTTCTTTATTTCATGGAATATGTTAAAAAACAGAAAGAAATATTGAACCTATGCCATGTACTTCAAACGAAGCTTCCACAGAAAATCTGAAACCCTAAAAAGGTTCTTCATTTAAGCCATAGAGAGACACAAATATTCAAACTCTCCTAAGTAATGCTAAAAACAAGGCAGCGAGTGTTCCGACAAGGGCAAGACCTCACTTGTTTATTATTTAGGACTCTTATCACTGTCAGTTCTAGCTTGATGAAAGTACTATCATGTGTCAGAGACAATGCCATATGTTCACCAAAAACAAAAAAAAACAATTTATTTTCCCTCTGGGCATACAGAAAGACTACATTTCCCAGTTTCTTTTGTAATTAATTTTGGGCTATGAGTCTGAATTCTATCCAAAGAAATGCAAGTGAAAGTTGTGTATACTACTTCCAGGTCTTCCAGAATCCTCCCACCTCCTGCACAACCTTTAACATCTCTCTTCCCCCTTTACAGTAACCCCGGGACCACATAGTGAAGATGGTGGCATTGCAAGACAGGAAGAGCTTGGGTTCCTGCAAGACTGCAAGAAGCAGTCCCCTCTTTTCCATGACTATCTTGGTCTGCGACAGGCTGCAATGGTTTGAAGGTTTGTCCCCTCTAAAACTCATGTTGATATTTAATTGCCATTGTGATGGTATTGGAAGGTGGGGCCTTAAGAGAGCTCTGCCCTCATAAGTGGACTAATACCAGTTATCAGGAGTAGGCTCACTCACTTCCACTCTCTTTTTCTTGCTCTCACTCTTGTTAGCCCTTCTGCTTTCCACTATGGGATGATAGAACAAGACGTCCCTCATAAGATACTGGCACCTTGATCTTGGACTTCCCAGCCACTAAGCAACAAGCCAATAAAACTCTGTTTTTATTATATATTACCCATTCTTTGGTGTTCTGTTATAGCAGCACAAAACAGACTAAGACACAGGAAGAAGCAATAAATCATTATTTGAGATTTAGCGGTTATTGTAGTAGCTTGTGTCATGTACCCCAACTAATGCATACTATATTATATCATGTACGTTCTCTGTGTTGCTTATTTCCTACCTCAACCATAGCCATCATTTTAAGACAACAGTTAAGAAAACAACTTTATCTGCACAAAGTGCTCTTTCTGCCTGATGTTTTTCCCCTCCTCCCTCTGTTCTTGCCTCCCCAACACACACACATCCCCCTTTACCTTTATATACTCCTTTTTCAGCTTTGAAATGGCAAGCGGGCCTAACAGGAAAGATTCTTTGGACTTTAAGAACATCCATCAGCTTTATTGCTATAGACAGATTTCTTTCCTTAATGATTTTTTTTTTTTTTTGAGCAAGGAATATGGTTTGCCCTCTCCAGTCATAGAGTGAATTAATTTGAGGATTTAGCTAGCTACTTGTCATGAACCTGAATGAGAGAAAGGGAGAAACTTTTCATCCACTGCTCACTGTCATTTTCTCTCCTTCTGACTTCCACTTTCCCTAAATTGTTGCATTAATCTAGCCACTCCCCAATCATCACCACTATAGTGTGAGCTCTTTCAGGAAAAGGACCAGTGCTTATTCGTTTTTTATCCCTGATATTTGGAAACTACTAGGTAATCATTAAAAGTTAGCTATTATTTAGCAATAAGATCAAAACCAGGAGACAAATGGCCTTAACTCTGTTAAGAGGCATTAGGACAATTTCATGGGACTAGGAGAGATGCCAGGCCCTTCTCTTAGTCCATAGCTATTTGAATCCCAGATCTGAAACTTAAGGGAAATAAAAATTTAAGTATACATACCACCTCTCAATTTCTCTTCAAATAATTTTTTTCTTTTTTCCTTCTCAAAAAAAGAAGGAGGAGAAGGAGCAAGAGGAGGCTAAGGAGAAGGAAGAAGGAAGGAAAGAAAAGTAAAGGAAAATTTTAAGAGGTCCATTTTCTTCTCAAGGATGAAAATCAAGGTCCCAAATGCTTATAAAATCTACCCCTTTCAACTAATATTTATAGTAAAGCAGTGTAGTACAGTTAGGTGGAGGAAAAGGAAAACTATGGGAGTAGAAATTGCATTTGCTGAGTACACATGTGAAACGACAGTTACCACCTTCATTCTCCAGTGTTAGGTTTTGAAATCGCCATAGTAGGAAATCCACTTTAAATATGTTTGCCTTTGGATCTATTTTTAAATGAAAAAAAAAATCTCAGTGCTTCTGGTGTATGTATGTACTAGAGACAGTCTTAACCTAAGATGTTAAGAGAGGAGGCTGGGGACAATTTATCAGTGTCAGAACCCAACACCAGAAGAGAAATTGGAGTGACCTTTTAACAAAGGTTCTATTTTTAAGATCTAATTGACTTAGCCACTGGGATTATCTCTGGTATTAAAAATTATTTAATGGGGTTGCTCCATGAAATTCAAATAGGATGTATGGTAAATCATTACTAAGATGAAACAATGGCAGCAAATATTTACTGATGCAAAACAAAAAGTTCGTATAGAATACCTGAGAGTTTGCCTGCTGTGGTAGTGAGTTATGAGAGACATCACAACCAAGGCTTGCTTTTGGCTTTTTCCTTGCAACAAAAGAAATAAGCAGCACTTGGAGTGATCCGAACATCCAGGAGGACTTATAACCTGTCCCTTTGGAATATTTGGTCAAACTCTTGCTTAGTGGTTCTTCACTTTCTCCGAATTCCCCACTCTTTCCTTTCCTAATTTGTGTTTCTAGCTGCCCACTCCCATAGTATTTCCCCATTTCTTTAACACTCTCATTTTCAATTTATTCCTTCCCCATATCTCTTTCAGGATTTTCCCACATTCAACAATATGACATTATCTCAGATAGGAGAGTCCACTGATGATTGCGCGTATGAATAAGGTAAAAAACAGTGCTCTACAAGGGTCCCTTGCAGTTCCTCAGGGACCTCAGTCTATCAAACATTTTCTCCCCTACATATGCACTCTTTGCACTCTTTCTCTTTCCTATTACAATGCAACTAGGGTGAAGTATCTTCTATCTTAAAAGACAATGTTACCCAGACTTTAAACCAACAAAAATCAAAAGAAACAAAGAAGGCCACTATATAATGGTAAAGGGATCAATTCAACAAGAAGAGCTAACAATCCTAAATGTATATGCACTCAACACAGGAGCACCCAGATTCATAAAGCAAGTCCTTAGAGACCTATAAAGAGACTTAGACTCCCACGCAATAATAATGGGAGACTTTAACACCCCACTGTCAACATTAGACAGATCAATGAGACAGAAAGTTAACAAGGATATCCAGGAATTGAATTCAGCTCTGCACCAAGTGGACCTAATAGACATCTACAGAACTCTCCACCCCAAATCAACAGAATATACATTCTTCTCAGCACCACATCACACTTACTCCAAAATTGACCACATAGTTGGAAGTAAAGCAGTCCTCAGCAAATGTAAAAGAACAGAAATTATAACAAACTGTCTCTCAGACCACAGTGCAATCAAACTAGAACTCAGGATTAAGAAACTCACTCAAAACCACACAACTACATGGAAACTGAACAACATGCACCTAAATGACTACTGGGTACATAACGAAATAAAGGCAGAAATAAAGATGTTATTTGAAACCAATGAGAACAAACACACAACATACCAGAATCTCTGGGACACATTTAAAGCTGTGTGTATAGGGAAATTTATAGTACTAAATGCACACAAGAGAAAGCAGGAAAGATCTAAAATTGACACCCTAACATCACAATTAAAAGAATTAGAGAAGCAAGAGCAAACACATTCAAAAGCTAGCAGAAGGCAAGAAATAACTAAGATCAGAGCAGAACTGAAGGAGATAGAGACACAAAAAACCCTTCAAAATAAATCAGTGAATCCAGGAGCTGGTTTTTTAAAAAGATCAATAAAATTGATAGACCACTAGCAAGACTAATAAAGAAGAAAAGAAGAGAGAAGAATCAAATAGATGCAATAAAAAATGATAAAGGGGATATCACCACACCGATCCCACAGAAATACAAACTACCATCAGAGAATACTATAAACACCTCTATGCAAATAAACTAGAAAATCTACAAGAAATGGATAAATTTCTGGACACTTACACCCTCCCAAGACTAAACCAGGAAGAAGTTGAATCCCTGAATAGACCAATAACCGGCTCTGCAATTGAGGCAATAATTAATAACCTACCAACCAAAAAAAGTTCAGGACCAGACGGATTCACAGCCGAATTCTACTAGAGGTACAAAGAGGAGCTGGTACCATCCCTTCTGAAACTATTCCAATCAATAGAAAAAGAAGGAATCCTCCCTAACTCATTATATGAGGGCAGCATCATCCTGGTACCAAAGCCTGGCAGAGACACAACAAAAAAAAGAGAATTTTAGACCAATATCTCTGATGAACATCGATGCAAAAATCCTCAATAAAATACTAGCAAACCGAATCCAGCAGCACATCAAAAAGCTTATCAACCATCATCAAGTTGGCTTCATCTCTGGGATGCAAGGCTGGTTCTACATAAGCAAATCAATAAATGCAATCCATCATATAAATAGAACCAAACAAAAAAACCACATGATTATCTCAATAGATGCAGAAAAAGGCTTCGACAAAATTCAACAGCACTTCATGCTAAAAACTCTCAATAAACTAGGTATTGATGGGACGTATCTCAAAATAGTAAGAGCTATTTATGACAAACCCACAGTCAATATCATACTGAATGGGCAAAAACTGGAAGCATTCCCTTTGAAAACTGGTACAAGACAGGGATGCCCTCTCTCAACACTCCTATTCAACATAGTGTTGGAAGTTCTGGCCAGGGCAATCAGGCAGGAGAAAGAAAGAAAGGGTATTCGATAAGGAAAACAGGAAGTCAGATTGTCCCTGTTTGCAGATGACATGATTGTATATTTAGAAAACCCCATCATCTCAGCCCGAAAACTCCTTAAGCTGATAAGCAACTTCAGCAAAGTCTCAGGATACAAAATCAATGTGTAAAAATCACAAGCATTCCTATACACCAATAACAGACAAACAGAGAGCCAAATCATGAGTGAACTCCCATTCACAATAGCTTCAAAGAGAAAAAAATACCTAGGAATCCAACTTACAAGGGATGTGAAGGACCTCTTCAAGGAGAACTACAAACCACTGCTCAATGAAGTAAAAGAGCACACTAACAAAAGGAAGAACATTCCATGCTCATGGATAGGAAGAATCAATATTGTGAAAATGGCCATACTGCCCAACGTAATTTATATATTCAATGCCATCCCCATGAAGCTACCAATGACTTTCTTCACAGAATTGGAAAAAACTACTTTACAGTTCATGTGGAACCAAAAAAGAACCCGCATTGCCAAGACAATCCTAAGCCAAAAGAACAAAGCTGGAGGCATCACGCTACCTGACTTCAAACTATACTACAAGGCTACAGTAACCAAAACAAAGATATAGGCCAATGGAACAGAATAGAGGCCTCAGAAATAATACCACACATCTACAACCATCTGATCTTTACAAACCTGACAAAAACAAGAAATGGGGAAAGGATTCCCTATTTAATAAATGGTGCTGGGAAAACCGGCTAGCCATATGTAGAAAGCTGAAACTGGATCCCTTCCTTACACCTTAAACAAAAATTAATTCAAGATGGATTAAAGACTTAAATGTTAGATCCAAAACATAAAAACCCTAGGAGAAAACCTAAGCTATACTATTCAGGACATAGGTATGGGCAAGGACTTCATGACTAAAATACCAAAAGCAATGGTAACAAAAGCAAAAATTGACAAATGGGATCTAATTAAACTAAAGAGCTTCTGCACAGCAAAAGAAACTACCATCAGAGTGAACAGGCAACCTACAGAATGGGAGAAAATTTTTACAATCTAC